TTCTTATATCAAGTAGGTGTGTTGCTTCATGATCTTTCTCAAGATGATCATCTAGCCTTTGGCCATGATCCTCTACAATTTAGGTTATAAAGGTTTTATTTATGCTTGTTGTGATAATTGTCTCTAGCAAGTAGGTGGAGTTCAGGTGGAAGTAAGAAAATATGGTTCCCTCATTCACACGATAGGAATGACTTAAATGCAAGTGGTTTAAAGGCTTACTCAAGAGACTTCATTACTCAAGAGACATGATTGGCATAGTTATGAAGGTTTCATCCCTTATCCAATTTAGGAAAATGGTGTATAATACTTGCTATATGATTTAACATCAAAATGCCATGAAAAATCTCAATTGGTATTGGAGCAACTTGAAAAGGTACCGTTACAAACATGATGGAATTTCAAGGTGATTCTAGGCAATATCTCAACGTGGTTTTTTAGGCCATGTCTCAAGTGATTTTCAAGCCATGAGACTAATTCGTTTCCAAGATGTTCACTGCATGGTGGAAGGATGATAAGGCATAAGGCAGGCGCTATGAATGATGATGAAAATAATAATTAAAAGTGTTTTCAAAATCTATTTTAGTTTCTTAGTTTTTAAAACTTTTAAAATTTCAAAATTTTAAAAATTTATTTTAATTTTTTAGTTTTAAAAACTCTTAAATAAAAATATTTTTCAAAATTAGTTTTATAAAATTGTACTATAAAACAAATTTTATTGTTTTTAAATTTTAAAAATTAAAAAATAATTTTACAAAATCAAATCAAATAGTTATAAATCTCTTTAAATTCTTTGTCTTAATTCTCATTCAAATTTGTTGTACATGACCCAAGATACAATGTTAGCCATTCAATCTCTCAGCTAGAGGTGGAAATACACTAAGTCAAGTTAGGTTTTGCCAAGCCTAAGCTTGACTTGTTAAAAAATTGAAGTCTAAGTCTGGTCTGTAGTCTGTCATATGCTTATTTTTAGGTCTGAGTCTGACCTTTTTTAAGGTCTAGTTAGCTTGTTAGCCTACATAAACGCCTATTATTTTATACATATGTAAATAAGCAATTAAAATAATGTTTAAATAGACTAACAAACTAAAATCCCAATGAAACTAAAAATATTTGTTTGCATTGACTTATTTTAACTTACGTATTAACATAAGTTTTGTGAGACTATTTCTTTAAGATAACTTATGAAAACAACTTATAACATTGTTCATAAGGTTTTTTTATCTTATTTTCTTAAGTTCTCCAAGATAAGCAATTTTTATTTATATATTTTAATTCAAAGTACAAAGTATAACATAATGATAATAAAAAATTATTCATATTTATTTAAATATGTCGGTCTGTTAGACTTAAAAGACTTTTTTTATGGCCTGAGGCCTATCCTTTTTTTTTAAAACTAAATAGCCTTATAAAAAAGTATAGGTCATTTATATTTTAAAAAAAACTTGACCTGGCTTGAGCCTGTGTAGGCTAGCCTCTCAGCAATATGTTTTCAATAACCAATATCAAATTACTATATTTGTGATCAGGGGTGAAAAAAAAATCGATGTTCGACTGAACCTGATTCAAGCGATAGAAAAAATATCATCTCAATCGGTTTATTTTAGACATATGGGTCAATGAATTATTTTTTTACCATTACTAATGGATTGGACTGGTCGAAATTTGTTGTTACTTTTTGATCATCAAACCCGACCAAAATTGGAATGTTATTATACTAGTTACAATTATTTACATATGTTTCTATCAAATCCTAGTAAAAATATGTTCAGATAGATGCCAGCCTCCTAGTTTTGAAAAAAGTGACAAAAACTATTTATATTACTTTTTAATTTTTTGAGACCCATAAAATTATACCTACTATGTTGTTATCAAAATTTTTACCCACATATCCAACTTTCCCTATAATATTTTCAGAAATACCCATCTTTCGAACCAATTTTTCAAAATACCCTAGTTTAAAAAAATCGTTAAAGGGAGACATCATATCATTTGGAGTCACCTTTATTTAAAGAGGAGACGACATTCCATTTGGAGTCACCCTTATGAAATAGCAGGGGGCGCCATTTGGTTTGGAGTCACCCTTATAATATATGACTTACTAATAATTAAATAAATTATTACGAAATAAGGGGGCTCCAAAGCAAATGACGCCTCCTCCTCATCAATTAAGAGTGACTCCAAACTAAATGACGCCCCTCCTATTTCATAAGGGTGACTCCAAATGGAACAACGCCCCTCTTTAAATATAAGGGTGACTCCAAATGATATGGCGCCACCCTTCAACGATTTTTTTTTTAAAACTTGGATATTTTGAAAAATTGGTTGTAAAGATGGGTATTTTGAAAAATATTATAGGGAAAGGTTGTTCTGTGGGTAAAAATTTCGTTGTTCTCACGTGCTTCATAATTCTACTTCATTTTTCTATTTAATATACTAAAATCCTATAATATCTTCACACTTTGAAAAGTTAATGTGTTGAATTTCTTCTCTTTTTCTTATAACCACCGCAACTTGCATTTAAACAACTCTCTTCTTTCTCTTATAAAGGGAAACTAAACAACTATGGAGGCATCTTTCTTTCTTCTTTTATTTTCTGAAACAAGTTGAAAGATTTGAATTTAATCAAAATTTTCCTTCACAAAAGTTGAAAGTTGAAAGGTTTCTTTCCTCTATTATTTTCGAAAATAAAAGTTGAAAGATTTCTGAAACAAGTTGAAAGTTTATTTTTATAGATCCACACTATATTTTATTTCCTATCTAAGAATGTTTGTGAGCTTGTTTTTTTATCAAAACAAACTCAACGTAATTCATTAATCAAAATATGTTCAATACAAGGAGGAATCGAGTTAAATCTACTATGCCTAGACCAAGAATTAGCTGCCCTAGACAAAGAAAATGGGCAACCAAATTCACTTGGCGTTTTACAAACTTCACCTTGAAGTTATTTGAATTATGTAACAACTCTTTAATTTAAGAAATAATAAAGCAAAACTCAGAACTACCACCATGAACGGACTGAACGACATGGACGACTTTTTGGGAGTCACTCTAAAAAAACATTATCTAGGTGCAAATCAACCGCTCCAAGAATTGGCTCCTTAAGGACTAAGGCTTCAGCTTCAATCACGGAACAAGAGTCGGGATCCCAAGGCACTCTTGCACTAATAAGAAATCCACTGTTATCTCGAACACACCGTCCTCTATTAGTAGTACCTTGGTTAAAAGTTGCATCCACGTTGCATTTCAACCATTCCTCCAAAGACGGATTCCAAGACAAAGAGTAATTATGAACATTATTAGTCTCATGAACTTGTTGGGCCAGAAACCACTCTTGCCACTTGTGAAAGGCTAACCAACGGGCTTCCACTTGCTCATTGTGTCAAATAAGATCATTTCTATTCTTCCAAATCTCATCCAACATAGTTGCAAGAGATTTTGTTTCACTGCAATTTATGTATTTAATTTGCATAAGATTTGGACTAACCGAACCGCATAATTCTTAAAAACCAAAAAACCGCAACCCGACAAAATCATAAATCAAACGGACGAAATTGGTTCTCCATTAACATCTGTGGGTTTGATCGGATTGGAATTTTGAGTATGAATTCGTCCGAACCCGTCTGTTTTTCCACCCCTACAGTTGTGATGCACATTCAAAGCCCCTTGAAAAAAGCTAACAATAACTTTCGAATCAGATAGAAACAACTAGTGATTAAAACCAGTATCACACGCAACTTCGAACCATGATATAAACCAAAAATCTAAACATAAATAAGGGTGTTTATTGTGCAGTTTAAGCGGTTTTGACGCTAAATGTCAAGCGAACCGCAAGAGAAAAAACGTGCGATTTGGTTAGATTGACTTTTAAAAATAAAATCAAACTAAAGCAAACCAAACCATTGCAATTTGGTTTGATTCGTTTGGTTTGATTTTTTATAAATTTTTTATTAAGTCATACATACACATATAGATGACAACATGACTTTGCATTTAGTCATTCATACACTACCAAATAACAATGAAACTCATCATATTTGAACAACAACTTCTCATTTAATATGTAATAATCATATTAAACAAAAATGGAATAATAAACATATAACCATAGTATAAAACAATATCAAAAACATTATAATGAAATAAAAAAGAAAAGAGGAAATGAGAGATTATTAAAGATAAAAACGAAAAAAATATTAGAGAGGAGAGATTAGAAAAGAAGAAGTGCGATAAAAATAAAATTGTAAGAGAAAATAGTAGCATAAAAATGAGAAGATGAAAAAGAAATAATCCAAGAGAGTATAAATTAGTGAAGAAGAGGAAATATGTATATGACGAAAAAGGTGCGATATTACTAAGAGAGATGTGAGAAAACTAAAACTGAACTCCTAAGTATGAGGAAGAAAAAATCATTCGCAATCGTAAGGTTAAGACATAATAGTTTAAGTTTGGGTTGGATGAGTTAAGTGAAATTTGAGTGATAACATAATACGGTTTGATTCGATTTGATTCAGATGACAAAATACAAATCACAAATCAAACCGTGTGGTTTTGTTAAAATATATGACTTGAACACATTCGAATCAAATGCAAATTTTTACAGTGTTAAATTTGCTTTAGTTCAATTTCCGATTTTTATTAGACTCGTTTGATTTTTAACGCCCCTAACGATAGAGAATGCAAGACTTAATTATATTAGGTTTTATAAAATAAATAAATAAATAAAGACTTACATTGAATAATTTTCTTTTGTAAGGAAAATAATGACAAACACATTTATTTGGTGGGCGAATGAATAACTGAATATTGAACAAAATAATGACTGAGACAGACACCATGAACAAACTCCACCATAGTCAAAAGACTCAAAAACTGCAATTTGCATCTCTCTCTCTCTCTCTCTCTCTCTCTCTCTCTCTCTCTCTCTCTCTCATGCTAAAACTCACCAAACCTTTTCACTTTTCTTCCATTTGAAACAACTCCAAACCAAAATCACACCTCAAATGTCACTTCTCTTCAATTTCTTTCGCTTCCTTTTCCTTCTCCTCATTTTCCCCTCCTTTTCCTTCTCCGCCACACCATGTCCTCTCAACATAACCCTCCTCCGCCACATCGGCGACGGCTCCCGACCTTCCACCACCTCCTCCGACACCCAGTGCCATTACATCCTCCAAGCTCTCCACCTCGTCCAAGCCGATTACCTCCACCGCACCGGCTTCTTCGTTCCACCTCCCAACACCTCCGAATCATGCTGGTCCTCTTTCCAATCCTTCATCGACGAATTTCAACCTAATTTCAATATCCGTTCCTCTTGCGGTTTTCAAACCTCGTGGATCTCTCAAGGTTGCATGAACATCACAACCAAACAACAATTCGAACAACAAGTTTCTTTACCAGCACTTCAATCTCTTCAAACGAACTGTAACGTATCTCTTGATAACAACGCTCCTTGCGCTCTCTGCACAGCGAAACGCTCGGATGCTCTTACTTCCTTGACCGGAGTAACCGTCAGTAACGTCTCCGACTGTAGATCTTATACCGCGATTTATGCGGCATCACTTTCCGATCAGTTTGGTCCTACTAACATCGGAACTGCTAAGTGTTTGTTCGGTCTCGATTTTTCGTCTTCGAGTTCTAGCAGTAAGCATCACACCATTGTCATTGTGCTTGTTACTGTTTTTGTGTTTTTAGGATTGTTACTGTGCGGTGGTTTTTGGGGTTATTTTAGATATAAGAAGAAAAAGAGTGTGAATTCGAAGGGTAATAGTAATAGAACTGAGATTATTTTAGGGTTGAGTTCTGGTTTGGATAATATGAACCAGAGTACTACTTTGATCAAGTTTAGTTTTGATGAGATTAAGAAAGCAACTAGGAATTTTTCTAGGGATAATATAATTGGAAGTGGTGGTTATGGAAATGTTTATAAAGGATTATTATCGGATGGAAGTGAAGTTGCAATGAAAAGGTTTAAGAATTGTTCGGTTGCTGGTGATGCGAGTTTTAGTCACGAAGTTGAAGTTATTGCTAGTGTTCGACATGTTAATCTTGTTGCTTTGAGAGGCTATTGTACGGCTACGACTAATTTAGAAGGTCATCAGAGGATTATTGTTACTGATTTGATGGAGAATGGGAGTCTTTATGATCATTTGTTTGGTTCTTCGAAGAAGAAGTTGAGTTGGCCGATTCGTCAGAAGATTGCGCTTGGCACGGCTAGGGGTTTGGCTTATTTGCATTATGGTGCTCAGCCTTCGATCATTCATAGGGATATTAAAGCGAGTAATATACTTTTGGATGAGAAGTTTGAAGCCAAGGTAGCGGATTTTGGATTGGCGAAGTTCAATCCTGAGGGAATGACTCATATGAGTACTAGGGTAGCTGGAACTATGGGGTATGTTGCTCCTGAGTATGCTTTGTATGGACAGTTGACAGAGAGGAGTGACGTGTTTAGTTTCGGTGTTTTGCTTCTCGAGCTTTTGAGTGGAAGAAAGGCGCTTGAAACGAACGAGGATGGTCAACCGTCTGCTTTCAGTGACTTGGCTTGGTCGTTGGTTAGAAACAATAGGGCTTTGGATGTTGTTGAAGATGGTATGCCAGAATCTGGAACACCAGAAATTCTTGAAAAGTATGTGCTGGTTGCTGTTTTATGCTCTCATCCACAGTTATATGCAAGGCCAACGATGGATCAGGTTGTGAAAATGTTGGAAACAGATGATGAACCGATGCCCTCGGTTGTTGAAAGGCCGATTCCTTTTATTGCAGGGAGACTTGATATCGAAAAATCTACTGGCAGTAACTCGGGTCAGCTCTGCAGTCCAACTGGTTATCAAGCATATACATTGCAATTACAAAATCGCCGTACTTCTACTTGTAACGAAGAAGACGAAGAAAACTCCGAGCGTGTTTCTAATAGTATGGAAGCGGAAGGAAACTCTGAACGTCTTTCAAATAGTAAAGAAGAGAAAGGAAACTCTGAACGTCGGTCTGTAAGCAAAGATTGAATTTGAGAGAACATGATTATGTTCCACTAGTTTGTTTTAGATTGATTTGTTTGTATATTTAGAATTTAGATTGAATGTTTTCTGAAGTGTTTTCTGTTGTAAAGCTTTAAAAGGGTGTACAAAATGTGTTTTCAATTTTTTGTAGAGTTTATTTAATGACAATAAAAGATTATCAAGTTTTGCTTATTTTTGACGTTAGATCAGATAACACTATTAGAACACGTTCTTGCCAAATATGACAAATAACAGGTTTCTTGAATGAAATTAAGGATATTTTTTAAGGTGTTGGTGTCATCGACCAAGGGGCGGCAACGTTTGACAGGTATGTTGTCTTAATATCATGCCTTAAACGATGCTCTAAAGTTCTACTCTTTGGGCAACATTCGACAGGTATGTTGTCTTAATATCATGCCTTAAACAATGCTCTAAAGTACTACTCTTTGTTAGAATTTTTGTCAGGGTAACGCAAATGTGTGCATGTTAAAAAATTTATAAATGAAATGTCTTTGTTTAATGTAGAAATTTTGTGTTTGAAAACTGTGCATTGATTTGTTTAAAAGTTTATAAGTGATACTTTTAAACACAAACATTCTATTCATAATTTGAATACAAATTAGCATTTCCTTTTTCCGTATATGGTTCTTTAAGAATAGTATTTGTTAACATTTTTTTATGCGTCACTTATGAAATATACGTGTCATAGAAAAAGCTAGTTATAATATGTTTAATTTTAGAAAAAGTTGTTACATTTTTTCTTAAGCAAAAAGAAATTAAATTAAAAGAAAATCACTAGCACAAAATTATAGATAGCATGAACTCCAATTTTATAAAAGAAAGAAAAATAATTTATGTATTTGAACCATAGATTAAATAATATTAAATGAATAATAATTTGTGTGTAGTGTAGATAAGGAAGTATAATAATTATGTGTTAATCCAGCCAGTTTATGTGATGATAGGTTGGATTATTCTTATTCCCAAATACTCACTCTTTCAACTGTTTTGATTTTGGTTACAAGAATACTGACATCCCAACCCAACATCTTTCCAGAATATTAAAGAGCTGGCTAGAATATTATTATTAATAAAATATTACTAGCCAAATATACTGACACCGTTTGTTTGATTATTAGAATTGTAATAGGTCATAGCGTTTAAATTATGTTCCTGTTCGCAAATACTAACTGATTACAATTGTTAGATAGATCTTATATACAATAGATTGATGGTAATAAATTATACTCTTACTAACTTGTATCTTGTTCTTGCTATATAGACTTCCATCAGCAGCCATATGTGTTCGAGATTTGATATATTTAGGATTAGTACCTATTTTTTCCTTAGTTATTTGTTTTTTTTTTAAGAAACCTCTTACTAACTTGTAATTTCTTTTTTTGATAAATTTTTCTAAGATTTAAAAAATTCCTTTGTTTTGCACATTCATCATTCACAATCTTTTTTTTTTCTTTCATTCCCCATTCAATGTTTATTCCACATTGTATTTCATTTATTGAAATGATCCAAATATCCTCACTTTAAAATTAAAACTTAATTAATGAAATAATTCATTTTAAAAAAACTCTAAAATATCATATTCTCAATCGTCCCTTTAATGTTCATGGTTTTGAACCCTAGAATCTCAAATTATCTATTGTACCACTCTTCTTAATCGTTTTAAACCTTTGAAAAGCATATACACCTTGAATTCTTGAACGTTTAGCATCAAGCATTTCGTTCACGTGTTTGTTGATTTCGTTTCATTTTGTAGTGCGCCAAAGACAATATAAAAGAAGGTACGATTATATAACGTTTCCTAATTTGCAATGGTCCTAACGCAATGGGTTAGTAAAATTTAGTTTGTCAAAGTTAGATTTTCACTGTGTGAGTAAATTGTGTTTTGTTTCCTTAAACTTTGAAGGTTAAGCATGTTAATCGTATTTTAACTATTGTTATATATGTAATTGCAAACAGGAGCTTATTCAGTGTGATATTTCATCATGGAGGGAACTTTGTTCATGACAAACACATGTTTTACAGAAGAGGGAATAAAATCATTGTACAAGGGCAATACCTTGATAAGTGGAGTTTTTTTAGGAAGTTAGCTTAGTTAAAGACCAGGGTTATGATGAGTTTTGACTTTGGAGAAAGATACCAGAAGTTGATGAAAGGTTTATTCATTTCATTGATGATGTACAAACTGAAGAAATTGCTAATCACATCCTTGATAGTAATGTTGATGCTCATATCTCTGTTGAACATGGTGTTGAAAACATTCTAATCAAGGTGTTAAAGCCTCATCTTGATCAATTCAGTGAAATAAGTGATGATGATAGCACTAAGGCATAAGGTTTGACAATAGTGAAGAAGAAAGAAAATGTGAAAAAGATGAAGGATTTATGCATGTTGTGTTGGAAAAAAATTGCTTGATACCATATCTCTTGGGTTTTGATGATAACAAAGTATTTAGAGTACAATTGGGTATTCTAACATCTGCTCAAGTATGCAGGATTATAAGACTAAGAACGGATGAAGAGAATCTTGAAGATTCTGAATATGAAGTTCTGACTCTGACTCTAAAGATCACTTCTGAAGACTCTGGCTCTAAGGAAGATCCAAACTCTGAAGAAGTCAACATCTGAAGAAAGTTAGCCTATGGTGATCCAGACTCTGAAGTATTAGAAGTCAAGAAGCAGACTCTAAAGAGATGAGTCTCTAAAGAGTGAAGTCTGAAAAAAGTCAACCCTTGAAGGATAATCTCTTCAATAAAGGAAACTCATCCAGACTCAGAAATCTTTTGTTCACGTGAAGATTTAAGGAAAAATCCCTTTATAGTTGTTTGAGCTTCAACGTATAATTTCTCTTATAGAAAGGTGTTTTCTTGATGTGTCCATTAAAGTACAAAATTTATCTAACTTTTTAGAGAAAGTCTTCCAATGTCTCTTTTTCTTCTCTTTATACAAGGGGCTGGAAGATTTGAAGTTGAAGACAAATACACTCACTAGTGCAGAAAGAGGAATTTACACCTATTTTTTTATACATTTTACACCCGTTATTAGAGGGTGTAAATTGAATGGGTGAGAAATGTCTGATGAATTTACACCCGTTTTAAAACGGTTGTAAATAAAGAATATATTAAACCTTTTTTTTTAAAACGGGTGTAAATGGTTACTTATATACATTTAAATCAAACGAATTTACACTTGATTTGATAAAAATTGGGTGTAAAATAAATAATGCTTATTTAAAATTTGACCAATAACTCAGATGTAAAATGAATAATGCATATTCAACAAATTTACACTCGATTTGATAAAAATCGGATGTAAAATAAATAGTGTTTATTATGAATGTCAATAAATATAAATTTAAAGATCAGCAATCACATTCAAATTTTGCGGATTTGTAGTTTTAGATTGATTAGAGTGTGATTAAAATATTTGAAAAAAAGGGGGTATCTTTAGAAAGAGCGATAAGAAGTTACATGTTGGATGTAGTTAAGAATCCAGTATGCTAAGTATATATAATTTTTTACTGCAGTGTCACTGTCTGAAAATAAAAATACCAAAATGCCACTACTTGTAAAAAAAATGTTCAAAATGCCACCTTTTTAGTTTGGGCTCGTCCTTCCAATGGACGACTCATTAAAGAGGAAAAAAGTCCGTTGGGGTTTGGTCAATGGATGACTGATCCTATGCTACAAATTTCTTTTTAAAAAAAATAAAAAAACAAAAAACAAAAATCGTAGCATAGGGCCGGTCATCCATTGGCCGAACCCTAACTGACTTTTTTCTTCTTCAATGGGTCGTCCATTGGAAGGACAATCCCAAACTAAAAAAAGTGAAAAAGTGACATTTTAGACATTTTTTTAAGCAGTGATATTTTGGTGTTTTTATTTTAGTGGCACTGTAATAAAAACCTAAGTATATAAACAAATTTTGAGTTAAACAAATTTTGAGTCTTAGACTTACATACACGTTAGTGCAGAATAGTTATTTCTATCAATCAAAAGACGTGTATGTGCTTTTACAAAACATCAAATACAACCCTTTACTCAAGCATGAATATTCATAAATTAGAGTACAACACACTTTCCAAGTTCCATCTTTTTTTATAAGAGCCAAAGAAATAATATATTAATAATGCCCATGCATGAAACATACCACAATATAACAGTATATTACAGACCAATATAAGCACCAATCATAGCTCCACCAATATAATCACCAACTACATAACACCTTTTCCTAAACAAACAGAAGCACCTACCACTTATATCAGACCATACAAGAGCCAATTTATACCAACTGCAGACAAAAATAGATTAACGTTTGACTCATAAAACTCAGTAAATCTATGGCCATGTAAGAAACCAATATTCATAAAAACCTTGTGATTCGAAAAACATGACAGTGCACCTCCATTTGCTGATTATCGAATTAAACATAACATATCACCTACATTTGATGATTGTCAAAATGAACGTAGCTGAACCAAACCAATCTTGACCACAAAATGAGAAACAACTCAAATCCTACCCATATCCAAAACTCTAAAAAAACTGAAAGTGGAACCACCTGGACCACTGTGAAACCAACTTGCACCCTGATAAAATTTAGATTCCAACACAGAAATATCGGCCAAACTCATTGCATCGAAACTGATAGACAACCTATTGCAAGCTATATTTTAGATTACATCACAGATTTCTCACTCCACTAAAAAAATAGTCGGCGGCATGACTGCACCCGACAATGAAACCGCTTCATAAATGGCAAGACAAGACACTGCTCTACCGCAATACCGAAATTACCCACATGCAAGCCAATCATATAACTACCCTTTTTGAAGATGTCTGACTCCCTCTGCCCACCATCCCTTCAAATTGTACTAAGTGTTGGCAACAATCATTCTGCAGTACAGTAACCATGCCAAGCTAGTGATAAATGTTGCTCCATATACCAAAATGGAAGAGCAAAAAATCCTCTGCCCAACTCTGACAAAGCATCACAAATCACCGACCTATAGCTCACAAAGACCCAATCTCCAATAGACACCAACAACTCACTCCACCAAAAAGCTGCTAGTCTGAATAGCGATTACCACTCTTGCCAATGTCAAATTTGAAAGACCAGTTCGCACCGGTGACAATACATATATTTTACATGCTCCCAAAAAGGTCACATAATTTAGCCTTGATACATGATGGAAACTATACCAACTTCAGAAAATCCAAAATTACATCTGACACAAGCCCCAAACCACCGATACTATACCCGAATAGCGCCCCTGAAAATACTGACTGACTGCTCTTACAAATCGAGAATTAACTGCTCAAACTAGATAAAATTAGGTACCTCAATATGGCATGCATTATGAATGATAAAATACGCATGTATACAATGATATATGGCAGATAATTTCCTCTTTTCCATACTCAAGATAGAATTTACCATTTTGACGAATGCTCCACATTCCAATCAAGTAACTTATAACTTTCGAATGTGTCTGGGAGTTGCATGCGATGTTCAGAAAGCTGGGACACCATACTCTGTTAACATAAAAAGTCACCATCAAATTCAAAGGGTTTGTTTTCACATAAACGCAAATGCACAAATATCAACTTACCATTACAGTGGTATTAGAAAAGAAATCTACATATATTCCAACCTATACCAGCCAATTGGTCTGGCCACATGTCTATATGCATATAGTGAATTACATCAAAATCACTATATGCATATTCCTTCTTCTACATCTTCCTTCTCAACATCAACATCAAATAAGCATGTTGTATGAGTAAACATTTATTTTCATAACCATGAATCATATCATATCTACAATCCAATAGACATTATTTACACAAATTTAATAATCGATCAATATAATCATTAATTTCTAGACTTAAAGTAAAATTCAAGAAAAAAAGGCATTGAATATTTAATTACCTGGTGCCTGCTGTACATTTCGAAAATTATTTAGTCGACTGAGGTATAAAATCGGAATTTGTAAACTTGACCGAAATGTCTACCTTTTAATATTGATCGAGATGATCATGAAGAGACTTCAGATCGATACACATAAGCCAATCTCAAATGTCATATAACTAAATTCTTTAAACAGATAAAAGGCCAATGAAGGGACAAAAACCTTTACGAAACAATTATTAAAGAATTACAAATACTTATTAGAACAGTTAAGAATTATTAAAATAAACAACTATGTTTATGATGGTCATAAGGCCTAATTATGAAGGTAACTTAATTTACATTGCCGGAGCTAATACAGGTGGACGCGTGTTCTTCCTGGATCATCCTTTCTTTTGAAAATCAGAGAGCTCCATCCCTGTCATGAATGAGTCGAGGGCTGGAACAGAATCCGAAATTTTTCTAAGCGATTGATTTGAATGAAGAGCATCGACTTAGAAATGTGTTTTGGTTTGATTCTAAAGGGTTGGAAGATTTCAGTTATTTTGCCGAAGTTGTTTCTTTTGACACAACATATTTTACTAGCAAGTATAAAATACTGTTGGTGCTTTTCGATCGAGTTAACCATCATATTCAACGGACATTGTTTTTTGCCTGGTTACTGCACACATGGTTTATAACAATGGGAGAACGTGCTCTGCAAGTGTTTCTGACAGACCAAAACGACGCTATTAAAGCTGTTGTTGCTGCTGTTTTTCCAGGAACACATCGTTTTTTTTTGTTTGTGCCATGTTTTGGAAGAGATACCGAAACAGTTTGAATTTTTAGAATTTTTCACTGTCCTACCATGGTATTGGGACAAAATTTCCATAATACCATTGTTTTCCACATATATCCCAAATTACCATATTTTCAAAAAAATTGAATTTTTGTTTGAAAACGACCGCCCAACCAATGGGTGGCAATGACCAATTTTTAAAATCATCCGCCCTTCCAATGGGTGGCTATGACCAATTCCCTTTTTTTTTTTTTTTCGTTTTATTTTTTAAATATAATTAATATATATATATATATATATATATATATATATATTAAAATTAATATTTATTAATATATATAATATTATTAATATATATATTAATAATAATAATAATATTATTAATATTATTATTGTGCATAATGTAAAAATTAATATTATTATTGTAACCAACTAATATTATTATTGTGCATAATATTATTAATATATATATTAATATTATGCATAATGTAAAAATTAATATTATATATATATATATATATATATATATATATATATATATATATATATATATATATATATATATATATATATATATAATAAAATTATTAATATTATTATTATTATTTAATAATATTAATATTATCAATAATGTAAATATTAATATTATAAATATATATATATATATATATATATATATATATATATATATATATATATATATATATATATATATAATAAAATTATTAATATTATTATTATTTAATAATATTAATATTATCAATAATGTAAATATTAATATTTTCAATAATGTTAATATTAATATAATCAATTAATGTATAATATTAACTTATATTTCGGTTGTAATACGTGTGCTTACTGGACGACCTTTCTTGTTCCTCCGCATTCTTGGGTTATGGCAAATTTGATCTCCTTCATAAACGGGCCAATATTCATCGTACGGCATCACTGGAAAGCTATTGCTGTAAACCCCAAACAGGTTTGTAACCCTATAAACGTCAGATAAAAGAGCGTAAGCGTCGTGGCGCACGTTCGAACATGCAACGATAACATGTGAGCAAGGGACACGAAATGCTTGAAACTTTCCGCAGTCACACCATCCGTTCAAGAGGTCGACCTTATAATGTCCCATAGGCTTCCCCTCACCATGATCCATTGTCTCCTTCACACTGAAAACATTGTTAGCGTAGTCAAAAATTCTGACTTGATGTGTGCTGAATTTTGTTGTTTCTTCTTTCATCACCTTGAGGCAGTTGTCTGTAAATGTTTCGCCATAATTTAACACAGCACTCCACTTTGAACCCCGTTCAGCAAATAAAGATCCCAACCTATAATATGTTGCCCTTACCAATGCTGTAATGGGCAAATGACATGTGCCTTTAAAGACATCATTCATTGACTCAACAAGGTTGGTAGTCATGTGACCCCAACGTCGACCCCCGTCAAATGCTCTTGTCCATTTTTCGACTGGAATAGTGTCAATCCACCTTAAAGCATTTGCATTTGCCATGCCAATCTCTGACCGATAGTAATGAAATGTTGGTTGGTTTAAAGCGTACCCTGAATAATTAAAATATCAATCAATACATGTTATTGACAAAATTTAATAAATATTATGAAATATATTGAATAAATATTATGCAAAATATAGTTACCCATGTTAATTATTTTTTTCCGTAGGTTCCTGTCCTTGATTTCTCTCATAAAATTTTGTGCAATGTGTCGGATACAATAAACATGCACTGATGGGGGATCATGCCAACCATTTTCCACATTGTTGTATGCACTTTCAATTGATGCATGTAAGTCTGAAATTAAACATAGACCTGGTTGTGGCGCAACATGCCTCCTTAAGTTTCTCAGAAAAAATCCCCAACCTTCAGCGGTTTCACCTTCCACAAGGACAAAAGCAACAGGAAATATATTGCTGTTGCCATCTTGTGCCACTGCGATAAGCAGTGTACCCTTGTACTTGTCGTATAACCAGGTTCCGTCAATTTGAAGTATAAGTTTGCAATAGGCAAAACCCCTGATGCATGGTTGGAATGCCCAGAATAGCCGGTGGAAAATGTGTTTCCCTTCAACAATAGTTCCGTCAGTTGTATACATGGGTAAGGTTTCTATTTCCAGCACAGTGCCCAGAACGAATTTTTTAAGTGCTAACAGAAAATGTGGAAGTTCATTGTATGAGCTCTCCCAGTTACCGTAAACCTGTTCAATTGCTTTATTTCTTGTTATCCATGTCTTTCTGTAAGACGGAGTAAAATTGTATTCAGAAACAATTTTACTTATGCAAACACTAACCTTAATAGAAGGATCCTTGTCTACAAAAGGCATTAATTTCTGAGACATTAACTGTGAGGTTAGTTTTTGATGATCCTGATTAAACAAAGTTGTTGAGCAACTATGAGGTGGGTTCATAATGCCTATCTCCCACAAGTCACTTCTTTTACGGTAGGACGCCAATAGACGAAACTTGCAGGAATCATTCTTGCAACAAATTATGTATCTCTTCTTGTCGGAATTTTTCACTTTATAATCCACACAATGTTTCATGTGGTATTGCTTAATAGCAGCAACACAATCAGCTTTATTTTTAAATTGGTTACCGACTTCTATGTCACCCTCCATTGGAATATGAGGAGTCCGTGGCCAATCAAATGATGTTGTTTCTACATTTAATGGCAGGGTTGTCATATGTGTCGGTGGGGTGAATACATTCTCAACTGGAATCTATTGTTCATCTCTGTTGACTTCGTTGACAATGTTCCCTTCCTCAAACAAAGTAGAAAATAAATCATCAACCTGTGTCTCGTTTTCTTCTTCGCCGTCTTCTTCTTCGACTGCTTCGTGTGGAATTATGGACAGATTGATGACCTGAGAATTTTGAGTTTCTTCACATTGTGCAAATGTTACATATAATTCAATGTGTTGAAACCCAAAACGTTCATGATTCGAGAACATCGTTTCAACATCGTCGTCGTCACGAACCTTTAGTGGAACAAATTTAAAGTGATTGTCCCCAAAATGGACAATATTTTTGTACGTAATCTGTGACACTGATCCAGCGTTCACCTTCATCTGTAACCTTTCCTTAAAATGTTGGAATGACGATCTTTTATTTACACTGAAACGAGTTACGTCAGTGTTTTCAAATATCAAACCGACTTCATCTGATACAACAACACTCCCATTGAAATGAGCATTAACAATGTATTGGTGGCTAGAAGACATTATGTAAGACAGTATTAGAAATGAGTGGATTATTTGAAGAAATAATTGAGTGGAATGTTTGAAGCAAGATAGTTTCAAAATAAATATAGAAGATAGTAGTAGTAGAAATTGGGTGGAATAAATATAGAAGATAGTAGTAGTAGAAATTGAGTGGAATAATTATAGAAGATAGTAGTAGTAGAAATTGAGTGGAATAATTATAGAAGATAGTAGTAGTAGAAATTGAGTGGAATAATTATAGAAGATAGTAGTAGTAGAAATTGAGTGGAATTAATAAAGAAGATAGTAGTAGTAGAAATGTTTAAAGAAGATAGTACTTAATACATCCACCATGCATGCAACGGATAAAGCAGGTCAAAGGTATGTTAAATGCTTCCGCCCATTAATGGTGCGGTTGACAGGAAATTAATGGCTGCCGCCCATTGAGAATGAGGCTTATCAGACCAAAATAAATGTTGTCGCCCATTGAAAGTCTACCAGCTGCGCATTCAAAGCGCGTGTGTCTGAAAAGTGCAGACAACTCTGATGGTTGCCGCCCATTGAGAATGCGGGTTGTCAGCACAAAAGCAACATAACCGCCCATTGATGGTGCGGCTTTAATGCGTAACCAACGTTTCCGCCCATTGAAAGGGCGGATGTCTACATTCCCTCAGCTCTGCAAACATGCATGCAGCCCACGTACAAGCATTGAAACCCTAAATTTTTTTAACCTCACTTCATTTATTTTTCTACCATCCTTATCTCATATCATTTAATTTTTTACATATATTTTTCTCCTATAAATTTTACTACCAATCCCATAAATTTCTACTACCAATCCTTACTACCATTAATTTCTACTACCAATCCTTACTACCAATTTCAAAATTTATACTACCATAAATTTCTACTACCAATCCTTACTACCAATTTCAAAATTTTTACTACCATAAATTTCTACTACCAATCCTATAATTCTACCAATTCTTAACTTTATCTTCTATCTTACACTATAACTCTCACTCTTGAAAATGGTTCTACTCACTTTAGGAGATGACCATCGCGGTACTCTTGAAAACATTGCATCCTATGTAAGTTAATTTATATTTATTTACACAATTCACTTTAGTAAAGTTCAAATATTTTGTTTATGATGTTAGTTACATTCAAATATTTTGTTTATGATGTTAACATTCAAATGTTTTTTTTATAGGATGAAAAAAATTTCAAACCACGCTCGCATAAGTACATAGAGCCTGATGAGGTTATCATACCATATTTGATTCGAGCGGGTTTCGGTCACGTCATCAATATAACATCATATGGAATTGATCGCAAATTCCTTCTCGCGTTGTGCGAAAGATGGCGACCAGAAACCCACACTTTTCACCTCCCCACGGGGGAATGCACAGTGACACTTGAGGATGTCCATATGTTGTTGGGTCTCCGTGTTGATGGGTCAGCGGTTGTGGGTGACACAAATGTTAACTATGCATTAGTAGAAGAACTATTAGGGGTGCCTTTGGAACGAGGTGATAGGAAGGGGCAAAGCATTAAAATCACATGGCTAAAAAGAAATTATAATGCTTTGAACCTAACCAATGAGTCTCCCGAGGAACAAAAACTTTATAAGACTAGAATGTATTTACTACTGCTTTTTGCATGTTGTTTATTTCCTGATACTAATGGTAATACTATTCATCTTCAATATTTACCATTATTAAAAGATTTAAATGAAGTAAGTAGATATAGTTGGGGCGCTGCTACCTTAGCGCATCTATACAGAAATTTGTGTAGATGCGCAATGAAAAATGTGCATAATTTTGCTGGTTGTGGTGTTTTGATTCAAGCATGGGGATGGTCCAGAATGCCCAGACTGTCGCCCAGCAACCCCAATCCATATCACTTTCCATATGCAACCAAGTAAGTATACAAAATTGTTTATGTAAATATTCTTTTCATCTTTAATTTTTACTAACTATTTCTTTCGTAGGTGGTCTGCGTATGGGATGAATTACGAAAAAACTCCGCATCATTGTGCTCCTGGGTATCGGACGTTCTTCGATCATTTTGAGAAAGACGATGTATTGTCTCTAATCCCTTATTTTTTTACTAGCACTTTCCATTTTTTTTCTAATCCTTTTTTAATTATGTTATAGTTTATATGAAGACCCTATCTTGAACTTGAAGATGAGGACCCAACTGAAAGCGATATGTGGAGTTCTACAACGTTCATTTTTTTCTTTCACTTATGTTGAAATGCATCATTCAGATAGGGTAAAACTCCAATTCGGAATTAAACAAGACATTCCTGGTCCACCTACATGCATGGAGATGTACCACAAGAGTACGACCAACGACCAATGGAAATTCGATAATTGGAGAGACCACAACATACAAGAACATCAGCATTGGATAAATCGCCGTCGCACTGTTCTACGAGGAAATGTCATGGATACCGAATGTAAACCCAGTAGGGAATACATGCGTTGGTATAGATCTGTGACCAATTTGTATCTATCACAAAATAGATACTTGTGGAACCCTCGGAACCAACCAACTTCATCAAACATCCAAAACCAACCAACTCCATCAAACTTCCATAACATCCCTTCCATGACATGTAACACCCAACCACCAATATTTAACACCCCACAACCAATATTTAACACTCCACAACAATTATTTAACACCCCATTCAACCCCAACCCAACACAACCACCTTATACCCCAAGCCAACACTACAATCAACCTTACACATCATTTAACCCAAACCCCTTCAACATCCAACAATAAAACCCAACCTTATCATACCCCCAATATAACCAATTCTCATTCTCTCAACCTACCCAACAAGAACATAATTACCAAACACCCCAACCACAAGTTCCTTTTTACCCTTCACAAAACTTCACCCTTTCTCAAGACCAAAATCCTTACACTCCCTACATTACTAACGCACCGCCACCTCTAAACCCACCAAGTTGGAGTAACGAGGGTACAAGAATAAGTTATGGAAGTGCGGCGGCGATACCAAATGACGACGCTTTCAGTGATGATTTGGTCGCTTCCTTCATGAACCCTAACAATGATGCAGGACCATCTACACAGCCCCAAAACGTTGAGGTTGATCGTAGAAGGTCCACCAGAAATGTACAAGCTCCTGCCTGTGGAACCCACCAACGCTTACATCGACCGGGTCAAAATTAATTAGGGGTGACATTTATTTTAGTTCATTTATTGTATTTTATTTTAATGTATTTCAAGAATAAATAAAAATTTATTTTAGTTTATTTATTGTATTTTATTTTATAATAATTATTATATATTTAAATATAGTAATTTATTTTAAATAAAACTATTTTTAAAATAATTATTTTAATTTTAATTTATTTTAATTTATTATAATTATTTATTTAATGATTTTTAGCTAAATCTAATAAACATAATAAATATAAATAATAATACATTACTCATTAAAACAAAAAAAAAACAAAAAATACGAGCTACACTGTGTCGCCCATTGAAAGGGCGGCTGTCCTAAAAAGTGCACCTTGCCGCCCATTGGAAGGGCGGAAGTGCTTCACCAAAAACCAAAACGTGTTTGAAACCATGGTATTATGGAAATTTATAGGAAAAGAATGGCATTATGGATAATAACTTCTAAGAGAATGGCATGCTGGAAAAATTTTCGAATTTTTAGCTACATGGCATGATAGCTTTATGGAAAAGTTCAACAAATGTATATTTAAGTCATGGACAGGAGACCAATTCGAAAGGAAATAGTGGAAGCTTGTTGATAGGTTTGAACTTCAAGATGTTAAATGGGTTCAATCCTTGTACAATGATTGAGCGTGTTGGGTGACAACTTTTATGAGGAATATTTCTTTTGTCGGCTTGTCTACTAGCTCGCGCTCAGAAAGTTTATAGTCTTCGTTCCGAAAATTTGAACAAGTAGATACTTCACTGAGAGAATTTATCGAACAATAGCGATTGATTCTTGAAGATAGATACGAAGAGGAAGCCAAAGCAAATTATGATGCTTGGCATGAAACATCCGAGTTAAAATTTCCTTCCTCATTTGAAAAATAATTGTTAGGGATACTCCAATATGACTAATTCTTATAAGGGACTTATAATTATAAATAATTTATATGTTATCAATTATTTTTTGTAAATGGTTAAAAACCGATTATATCTATAATTAATTTTAATTTTAACTTATTTTAAAATCATTTTTTCATGAATTTTTTATTTTATATATATATATATATATATATATATATATATATATATATATATATATATATATATATATATATATATATATATATATATATATATATATATATATATATATATATATATATATATATATATATATATATATATATATATATATATATATATATATATATATATATATATATATATATATATATATATATATATATATATATATATATATATATATATATATATATATATATATATATATATATATATATATATATATATATTATTTTAAAAAAATTATGTTCAAAAATAAAAAGGTAGTTGATGGCCTTAACCAGAATTTTCTAAGCATAAGTTAACTTTGTGACAAGTGTTTTAAAGTTACCTTTACAAAAATTTGTTGCTTGTTTGTGTATGCTGAAAAGAAAGAATGTGGGTTAATAATACTTATATGCTAAATCTAAATGAAATTTTCTTGGTTGGAACTAAGTGGTCTAGCCACCATGAGTGAAAACTCTTGGTTGTGACATAGACGCCTAACTCATCTTAACTTTGACCTATTTAACAAAGTATTCTCAAAAGATTTAGTAATTGGTCTACCTAAACTAAATTTCACTAAAGACCATCTATGTGAAGCTTGTCAAAAGGGAAAGCAAATGAGAATTTATTTTAAATCGAAAAATCTTGTTTCTACCTCGAGACCTCTTGAGCTTCTCCACATGGACCTTTTTGGCCCCCCTCGAAAATTATTATGGCTTTGTTATTATAGAGGACTACTCTAGATT